TCAAGACACAAGATTACTACACTGGAATACACTCCCACTCATTTCTTCCATGTAATGTAACTACTCCCATCAAAAGGTTTGTTGTGGTTTTCGCTTACTTTTTCCCAAAGATTAACAGCTGTGTTGGGAATACCAGGATGGAGCTGAGTTCCAGCAAGAAGCATTAACTATCAATTAGCTTCTTTGAATAATGTTGTTTGGACCTTGATATACATGGGCAGAAATTGACTGTGCACAAAGATGGGCTATGGGATGGCTCTCTATAAACATTTCTCTGAGGCTGAAAGCACAATCAGAATCTAGAAGGGATATTTCAGGCTCTCCCACAGAATAGCTTCCACTGAGGTGGATAGAATGGCCTATCTAAGTGACTGCCATGATGGATGTGACCAGCCTAAAACAGGTATTTATCAGAAGGTCAACTGATGAGATTGTTCTCTGCCCTCTCTAGATCCCTGGAATGTTCTAAATCATTCAGCTTCTTTTTCAGTTCTGGAGAAGTGGCAATATTTTGAAAATAATCACCAATTATTTATTTTATTTTGAGATTTGTGTAGGGCCCAGAAGTTTCCTTGTAAAGGCGTTGGTCTGCAAACATGCCATGTTCCAGGTTTTTTTTTAATTAAATTATTCTTTCAGGTAAGTTTTAAAAAAAATGAGACAGAGGACTTGAAGAGCATAAAAAAGATGCTCACACCATCATATTGCCTAACCCTGATAAAGGCTGTGTTAACTAGGTAAAGATCACTTCCCTGAAACTCCATTGCATATAAGCAGAGGCAGTCACAGTAAAATTAATTTCACAAGTATATTACATGATTTCATCGCATAACACCTGCACTGAGAGATCTTTTTGGTTACCAATTGCTTTCCAGTTCAATTCAGGATGATGGTTTAAACCTTTAAAACTCTGACCTGCCTGATAAGTGATAATGAAGGACCATTTGTGTCTCATCATCACTTTGCCTGGATGTTGAGACCTACAGCAAAAGCCTTTCTATGTAACACCCCACTTGCGAGGCTTGGTAGATTAAGTCTGAAAGGGCAGTTTTCTATACCATTCTTGAAATGTTTTTTTCCATTATTATTATTGGTCACACAGTCAGCCAGATGTTCAGACTGGATTTGACATTTTTATCCACCTATTGAGTTCTTCCCAAGGACCTGGGATAGGCAGATTTTGTTTGATGACATTAAAGGTGTTGTAACAGGATGTAAGCTGTTCCAAGTAAAGCTGCCTTTTGCAATTGTTGTTGTTATTATTACTATATGATTGGGTTCACATTACATATCAAATCCTAATTCCCAGTTAACCAAATGGCTGCTGTGTTCACATAACTATGCCTAAGCAACTAAACCTTATTATGGCTTAATGTAATGGTCTGATTCACACAACATGCTAAGGCAACGGCTGGATTCCTATGACCCAAACTACCCAACTTCATTTTAGTCTAACGTAGTCTATTTAAACCCGGCTTATAAAATTCATGTTTGCCCTTACTATATTGTTTTGTTTTAAACCATGTGCTTAATTTATTTGTTTAGTATTTTATTCTTTCTCTGTTAGCTGTATATATTTCTTTCTTCTTTTGTAGCAAAGAAACCCGATACAAATGAAATCAAATCAGATCAAAACATACACATATGCAGTTATTTTGCATGGCTATGAATTCCTCACAAGCTGTTTTTAAGTATCTTGTATTTTATCCAAGGAGAACATGCATCTGCTGAGAATTCCTGCTGTTCCTAAACCGATGGGAAGGTCTGAAGGCCAGCTAATGCGGGGAGACTGAACTGGCCATAACAACCCAAGAACATACCCTACTGGATCAGGCTAAGCCCTATCTGATTTCAACATTTTGTTTTGTACAGAGGCCAATCAGATTCTTCTGGGG